AAACCCGGGAACCGAACCCTACGGTCGACCCAACCCTAACGCTCATGGGTCGACACACACACACACTCTCTCTCTCTCTCTCTCTCTCTCCATAGCTGTTCATCTGCCCCTTTGGGGACTGGCCTCAGAAGAAACAAGCTGGCTGTCAGTACGCTCAACTTCTTCTATTCAGTCCTCATGCAGGTTCCAGGGTTTCCTCACTCTCTTTCTCCACAGACATGGGGATGTGAGTTGGGGGAAATCTCTGCCTAATTGGGGGAGCTGCGGCCTTCCTTTCCTGGAGGGTAGGGGAAACAGGGCTATTCCTGTCAGGATTAGGAAGATTACTAACCCACATTAATGAATTGCCCTCCTTACCACATTTGTATTTAAGGGGAAAGTGTCTACATTGGGGGAGCGTTTACATTTTCAACTACCACCTTGTCTGGGTCTCCCAGTGCATTTAGTCTTATTTGTGGCTTTTAGATTGCAAACTCTTAGGTACAGTGACTGTTTTTATGTATGCCTATTATAGCACATCACTGCATCCACTAGCTAATTAATAATAAAAATTAAAGTGACCTCTGTTGTCCCTATTGACTTCCATTGAATTACACTAGGGGTTAATTTAGCCCATTGTGTTGCACAATAAAGACAGCTGGGGGAGAGTAATTAAAAAATAGATTTTGTGTGTTCCTCCTAGCCATGAAAAACACCCTCACTTATTGTTGAGGGTAGGTGTGTCTGAGATTAAGGATAGAAATGATGTGAAATGGGAAAGGTCCTGGGATGAGAGAATGAATTGGAAAGATCCTAGGGTATTTAGGGAAAGAGATCTGAGTAGAAAGGAAAGATAGATTTGGGCCTTAGTGCCAAAGAGATGAGGACCCAGAGAAAGAGGGTTGTGTTGTGGTGGCTGGTGTAAACAAAAAAGAGATGCGTAGCTAATTCTACTCTTAGAAAACATGTGAAAATCAGGCGTAACTCCATGGAGTTCAGGGGAATTATTCTGATATAAAGGAGCCAGAGAAAGATGTGGGAGTTCTTGGGATATGGTGGGAGGGAGAGAAAAATGTGAAATTGGGGTAGAGAGCAGAGGAGAGGGATGCAATGGAAAAGAAAAATGTGAGAACTGGTGAAGGAAATGGGGGTGAGGAAAGATACTAAAAAGGGAGAAATGGATAGAAAGAAGGACAAAAACTGTACAGAGTTAGAGTTAAAGGAAAAATCAGGATAACACAAACCTTTATGGTTAGTCATTTATTTTTATTTTTTTCATTGTTGTTTGGCGTTTTCTGATGTAATTGTAATGAAGTGGGGGAGGGCAGAAAAGGAGAAGAATGCTAAGACTTTGTGGTGGATGTAGAAGATGATACGACAGAAGGCAAAATAATGGAGATTGAGAATCTTTGTCCAATATGGAAGGGGAAATCAGAGGCCATTGTGGTGAGGAAGTTTCCAAATTTATCTAGGAAAATAGGCCTAGGAAAGGTGAGGAACCATGATGACATGCATGGTATCTTTACAATGTTGTACTGAATCATCATGCAATGTTATGACATAGAAATCTAAATGTAGCCATTTATAGAGTTTATATATAAATGAAGATTAGCACTCCAAATCACTACAGGATGAGGGAAGAGTGCCACCTACAGACTCACCAGTACTGTTTCCTGCAGCAACTCGGTATTCCATGAATTTCTCCTATTCAAATGCAGAATTGGCCTGAACCTGCTTAGTTTATGAGTGGGAGTGAATCACAACAAAACAGAGCATGGCTGCAGGTCATAGCATGGGGTATCCACTGATGTTATATTTGAGCTGCACCATCAATTTCCATTTATTCATATATCTATGTCATTGCAGAGTTATAAACACTGCTTTCATGAATTATGTATACTGGAAATAAAGAGCAGGCCACATCATTACACATTATTTTTAGCTCAGATCTTTTAGGACAGCACTGATCCTGCTCTTTTTTTTGGCAGGAAGCTTCGATTTGTGTACCTGAAAGGGGAAACAGTTAATTTATATTGTCCTCTCTGGGTAGTTTTCCAAAATAGATACTTCCTTCTTCACCTACAGTGCCTCTGACTCTATTTTTAATTTTCACATCACATTTATGTGATGAGTACATGAGCAGTTATTCAAATTTGCTAGTCATATTCTGAGATAAATTACAGAACATAGGTTTCTACAGTGGTGAGCGTGCCAGAATCTATTAAGCATTGATCTCTTTTCATGTCAGCAAATATGGAAATGAAAGGGAAGAGGGAAGCCTGGAGCAGAAGAGTAATTGGAACCTGTTGTGTTTCACCCACCTCAAGAGATGAGGGGGAAGGGGGAAAATTGTAATGGTGTGGCCCACCCTTTATTTAGAGTATACACAACTCGTGACAGCAGTTTTTATAACTCTAAAAATTACACTTAATAAATATGAGAAGATACAGGTTTTCTTGATTACTTAAACCTAAATGTTTATTCAAGCTTTCATGAGAAGTTTGTCTTAATTTAAACAGAGCTAGGGCCTGCTGAACTGATGCCATTTTTTTGATGTGGACTCAGTACAGATGAAACGAGTCTTAATAACATCCAAACTCATTTAGTTTGCAAATGTATTCTACAGAGGATTTACTTCATGGTTTGGTTACTATAATCAGAAATAAACTGACCTTAATTTTTCATAGGTAGATTATATTTGAGAGTTTTATACTTCATTTCATGTAATAAAATGATGCTGGTTTTAATTGAAATTTTTTTTTCAAAAGAAACGTATAAATATTGTTAGTGTAGTTCATAGCAATGAAGTATCACTTGTATTTTCCTTTTTGGTATTGATGTTATAGGGACGTTGGAGACACTAACACATTGTGGATATTGTTGCTGAGAGAAGGAGATGGAAAAAGATAGGTTTGAAACACAGCCTGCAAAATGGCACAAAGCCAATACACTGAAAAATGGCAAACATGTCACATGGAACAGCTGGACACAGAAATATTTCTCTTTAATTTGGAAGGATAAAATTTTTTTCACAGCAGGCCACTCTCAAAAGAGTACAACATCAAAGAGGGTGGGTCCCACCAGTCAAACATCATCTGGCTCCAGTATGGAGCAAAATGAATGAACTGTCAGGACTTTTTTCCAGTGTATATGTTTTTGCCAAGTGAAAAGTAAAAGGTTCAGTGGCTTGTTCTGATCACAGACCAAATCCTGATAATGGAAAGCTGATTCTCCAAAGTCTTCCTCTGATCAGCTGACAGGAGATGTCTGAAGAAGACCCCAGATTGATTGATGGTCCACTTTGTATTGATGGCCTCTGCCACCCTTAGAGATAAGTGAGATATGCCAAATGCTTAACAGCTCTGGAGGGCTCCTGTGACTGTGACTTGAACATGTTCTAATCTACTGTTATAATCCTCACAGAAACCCCAGTAATCTTCTAAAGAAACTTAAAGTGATACTTACCAATACCTGACCTTCACTGTGACAAGAAAAAAAAATCCATTTCACATTGTCCAAAACGTGTCCACTGCAAACACCAATACTGTGTTACTGTTCATGGACTCTTTTCAACTGTTTTTTCTGAGTCTGACTTCAGCCTTGAAACAGGCTTAACTGCAAATTAAACATTATCATGCTGATTTACTAATATTTCTGTAATCTAATTGAAGTAAAGAAATGATACAACACATATATTTTTCAGTATTAAACTACAGCAACACAGTTTTTACAGCCATTACTCATTTGTTTTATGAGGAATCTCAGGCGTAGTTTATCATATATTTTATTACTTGACCTTTTAATCATCATCTTGGGAACTTGGCATTCCAGACATTCCAAAATATTCAAAACTAAAAATAACAATGTGCTTCATTATTTAAAACTTGCACAAAGAAGTTAAGTATAATTTTAAAAAAATTAACTCCCTCGTTCACTACAAACATGAACTGCTCTTTCAGAAATGTGGGATTCAAAAAGCATTTAAATAGTTATTATTATAACAGAGCCTAGAAGTAACTCAGATTATGGCTCCATTGAGATAGGTGCTATACTAATGCATTATAAGAGACAGTCCCTGCCCTGAAACACCGAGAAGACAAACAAAGGGTGGGAGAAAATATTATCCCTACTTTTACAGCTGGGAATTGAAGACAGAGAGCTTAAGTAACTTGCCCAAGGTCACAAAGGAACTCTATGGCATATCGGGAATTGAACCACAATCTTTTGAATCCTGGTGCAGAGTCTCAGCCTTAAGCACAAGACTATTTTTTTCTTTTCTGACCTGCTTATTCTCTGCTGGATCACAACCAGCTCAATCAGTAATAATCGCAGGGGAACATGATACCATATTTCCCTACCACTGCTTGAAAATTAAGTTGTTTCCAGCATGGGCTTTTATTTAAGAATCTCTGTTTTTTACAGAAAAAACTTTCATGGATTGTTAATTTTATTTATTTTTAATTTCATTTTTTCTTGGACTATATTTAAAACATGAAATAGGTAAGTCAAAGTGCAGCCCCTGGAGGTCTACGTTGTGTCTTGTGATCTTTCTCATCTTCAACATGGTATAGGCGATCAAGATTACAGGCCTGCATGCCCTTAGCTGCTCAGATCGAGATAAAGCATTATACGCTGGAACTTGAAGTTCGTAACTGGGACCTATAGTCCCCATGGCTAGACCTCCATATTGAATATGAGTGGGACCACAAGTTGCATTGAAGAACTCTTTAGGCTACACTTTAATGGCCTTGTTTCATGGACTATGACTGTTAAGGCCTGATCCATAGCTCATTGAAGTCAATAGATTTGCCCCACTGACTTCATTTGGATCAGGCCCTTAAGGATGGTCCTGGCAAGTCTGGCCATCACTTGGGCAAAATGTAGGTACTCTGGGTATAAAAGAAACAAAGAAACTCTTCACTGAATTATGCACAGACATCTATATGTCTGTAGAGGAAAATTCCACTCATTTTACCCAGTCCAACAGTGTGTGAAGCCAGAAGTCCTTCTCACCAGTAATAAACTGTGAAATCTATTTATTTGGAAATAAAATGTAATTACATTTGGGATTTCTGGACCTCCTGCTCTTGCCGCTGGTGGCCATTACCTTATTGGAAGTGACAGTATTTGTGACATTGGCAGAGTAGGATCCTTGGGTAAGAAACTGTAAACCAACTTCTAGCCTATTTTAAAGCAGAGGGATACTGAATGGTTGTCATTTAAAATGTTTGTAGCTCCACTGAAGTAAAATACCAATCTTGCTTTTGTTATTAATTAGTAAAAATATCTTTGTAGCACTCCTCCCTGGGTCCATTAGCAACACACAGGGCCGGTGCAAGGATATTTTGCGCCCTAGGTGAAACTTCCACCTTGCGCCCCCCGCACATCAGTTCATAGAGGGGCAAATCCCAATGAGCCTTTATAGACCCCAGGGGCCAGCCTGCCCACGGGCCAACCGTGCCCAGGGGCTGCTCCCCAAACCAGGTTCCCCCCTCCTTGCCCCCTGAACTCTCCTAGAGGGTGCACAGCCCCCCCGCGAGCCCTCCCCACCCCACCAGCCCCCACCCCGAGTCCACTCAATGGCTTTGCCGGACTTGGGCTGCTGCAGCAGCTTGGCAGGGAGGAGCTGCCTTCTGGGGGTTCCTGCAGCAGATTCATGTGGGCAGAGGCCCCCATGCGCCTCCCCAGCTCTCCCCTCACCATGCTCAGACTCTGCGGCTCCCAGGAGTGTGAGCCGCTGCCGCCACTGCTGCCCCTCCCGGAGCAGGCTCAGGGCCCCACGCCCCGGCAGCGGCAGCTCACATGCCCGGGAGCCCCAGAGCCCGAGTGTGGTGAGGGACAAGCTGGGAGACGCACAGGGGGCCTCTCCCCGCATTCGTCTGCTGAAGCCTGCAGGAGCCCCCCAGGGGGCACCAGGCCACAGCCTGGGCAGGGGAAGCGGGGGGCATGGCTGCCCCCGCTAGCGGCGCCACAGCCTTTGCAGGGCTCCTGCCCCCCTGCGCTGCGCCGGCTCTTCCATGGCTGGGGCTTACCGCCCCCGCAAGCAGACGGTCTGGCTCTCCGGTGGCTCCGGAAGGCGGCTCCTCCCTGCCGAGCCAGGGCACCGCTTTTTGGCGCCCCCAAGGCCGTCCCTGGGATTTATGGGGCCATATGCAGTATTATTAAACTGGTGCCCCTATGCCCAACAGCAGCCTGAGCTTGCAGCCCAGCGGTGGCGGGGGCGGAGGGACAAGGCAGAAAGAATAACAAGATGCCTCACAGTGGCAGAGAGTCACAGTTCCCCGCAGAGACCCCTGTACTCTCTCTCTCACGCAGAATGGATATGCAGAAGGTACCTAATTAAAAGCACTAAACTTGGGAATAAAAAATGTCAGTCACAGGTTTTTTGATATGCCCTGAAGTTTGTCATACATTTATTTGCAAAAATTTTGTAGTAAGGGTGAGTCAGCTGTCTTGCTGAATACAACATTAAATATTATGGAATACATGATGCATCTCTTCTCTGTTTTACATTTTCTTAATCAGTATTTCTAAGCTGATTTTATATTTTAAACGTACTCTTAAACCTTCATAAAGTAATCATTCCGGATTACTACATATTTAACTCACTGAAACAGACATTATTTTAAATTAATCAGTCACAGAGGTTTAGTGTGTTCATAACAATGTTCATTGCTTTTAGAAAAAGGGAACACTAATTTACTGTGTGTGATCTCCATAACAATACACATGTTTATGAAATTTCACCAACTTTAAAAAATAAGTTTCCAAAGATTTTAGGCATAACAAAGGATTTTATATCTTACTAAGGTACTGATTTTGCTTAAAACTAGTTCATCAGATAGTCAGAAGAAAGGGAAACTCTCTGTCAGCTGTTGCTTCCTTCAATGGGGGGGAGGGGTGAAGGGAGAAATGGATGGACAGAAAGGACAGGAAGACTTTGGAAGTAAGTTTTTTTACTATAGCAATTAAATATGTATTTTAGATAAGGGTGGTCTTTTGAAGAATTTATTTAAAAAACCATATGTCTGAAGATCCAAGCATTTAAGGCTAAAGATGATTGTACATCTAAAAAACTATGCAAGAATTTTTTTAGAGATGTGATTTTATAATTTTCACCAACTCACTAATGAAATATTTTTAAAGCAAATTTTAAACTAAGGTCCTGTAGACTGACATGTTCTATCACAGTCATGCACAACTCTTTTTTGTCAGTACATTCAGAAACTGACAGTAGATACCTGGGGGTTGGCAAATGCCTGTTAAATGTCTTCATTACCCATTGAATGGCTCTTTAACAGTTTCAGTGTTGTGCTAATAGGTCTGGCAGGCTGGAGACTTTTTCTCTTTTAACTACTAGAGCCCCTTCCCAGGAAGACTCAGAGCCTACAGGAAGGGTCAGAACAGGGATAGGAAAACCAGTAGGGTGTACACTAAGACCCAGTGGTGCCCCAAATTTTCAGGTGCCCTACCCAGCTGCCTATGCCTAAGTATGGCCTTGGGCACCCCCAACCACTTGCCGCCCTAGGCGGCCGCTTAGTTCGCCTAGTGGTTGCACCGGCCCTGGCAACACATCCACTTTACACTGTCAGTTCAAAAACTAGCTGGTCTACTTGAATAGGTACTTTAGGCACATTGTTTCTTGTAAGTTCTTTCATGGAATATCCTTGGGCATAATTCACATGATGCATGGCCATGAGGAGTCTGTGGATAGAAACACAGTGAAAGAATGTGTACTACTTGTTTCTTTCCTTCCACAATGAGAAGCTCACCTTGGATCTGATCCTGGAGATTTTCTTCCCTTCTACCTCTTCCTTGGTTGGGCCCTCAGATCCAGTCACAGTCTTTCACCCTTGGTCCCCTTTACCTCTCTCAGAGCTATGGAGCTGGTAAGTAGGATGACCAGATAGCAGGTGTGAAAAATCAGGAAGGGGGGGTAGTAGGTGCCTATATAAAACAAAGCCCAGAATATCAGGACAGTGCCTATAAAATTGGGACATCTGGTCACTGTACTGGTAAGCCAACTCTGATGAATATTTGTGAAGGAGGCAGGTGGTGAAAGATCCTGCAGCAAATGCCCCTGCATTGAAATGCAACAGCAGCAGAATTCATAACGTGGGAGAATCTGCTAACGGCATGTTCAGAGTGGGGGAGAGGCAGCTACTTGCAACCAGAATGTAAGGCACTTAGGCCCAATTCCTCAGAGGTATTTAGGCACTTAACTCCCATTGATTTCAGTGGGAGTTTGGCAGCTAACCTGCTGAGGCAGTTTTGTAAATCCTGGTAGATGCCTATCTGCATCTTTAGGTACCTAAATACCATTGTAAATCTGTCCCCTAGACACTATGGTGATATGAGAGCTATCACAAATCATAAAATAGATAAAAGAAAGAATAAGAGACTAACTACAAAGTAGGAGAAAAAATATCTTGGTTCCTTAATCTAACAGAGCTCCACAGATTTTAAACCAACAGCCATTCCATATGCTCTAGATAGTGATTGCTTTAATGTTTTTTTAAATATCATAAGAGAAATGTTGGGTCTGGGGTTTTGCAAGTGTAAATTCTATCACTCGTGATAATACAGGCTTGTGCAAAGCTGTGCACACACAGTTTGAAACCACATTTTTAAAACATACCCCACAGCAAATGTAGTAGTAGTGGATCAATTGAGCAGCTCTCTCGCCATGTCACCAAGCCCCAGCTGCCATGGAGACAGGCAGAGCTGAACTCTGAGGTATGTAAGGGAAACAGAGCTCTTCTGCAAAGTCTTCACAAACCATCTGCCCCACTTGCACAGTGGAATCAAGGCAATTCTGCTGTGTTTAGAGCCTTTTATATATGAGCACCTTTTAGCCCTAGGTGACTTCCCCAAGATCACAGTGAACCAGGAGAAGAACTTTGGAGTTGTGACTCCCATTCCCCTGCTTTAATCACCAGAAAACACTGCCTCCCTTGCGGCCTAATAATTTAACCTACCAACACCTGTTCTTATACCAGCTGCCAATAGTCTAAAGTAGTGTTACTCAACCACTGGTCCATGGTCCCTTAGCTGGTCCCTAAGATCTCCCTGACACAGTTGAAGAAGGCAGCAAGTCGGTCCCTGGCATCAAAAAGGTTGAAAAACACTGGTTTAAAGCAGTAATCTGAAATGTTATTTGTGCTTAAATATCTTTACCCTTTTAATTTTTTGCCCAGTTAGATTTGACTGTATGAATATGAGCTAAAAGAACTTCTCAGTTAAACAAAAGAGCAACAACATGGGGGTAAGGAATTAGCTGACTTCTTTTTAATGACACAGGATGCTGGGATTGTTTGGTAAAGTTACTATAGATACTAAAGGTGGTGGATGATGGTATCCATTGTGACATACCAGAGGAAATGGTCATGTCTTCATAAGCAATGGGGTAACAAGGGTCAGCTTGGTTGTCCTTGTTCTCTGGCCCAAGGTCCATTTTAGGAATTGTAACATCTTCTCATATGAATAATACCAATAATTTCAGTGGGACTATTCACATGAGCAATGGTTTGCAGTTTCAGGCACTTATTGGGACTGGGTGCATGGGCCTTCTTCATTAAGGAGTTCACATATGGAACTCCTTCTCCCTGAGCACACCTGCTTGAGTTTCTGCTGCACCCAGCTGGACTTGGTGTCATGTTCTTCTCTCGGGATTATCACATCTTTGATCATTTGTATCCCTCTTTTTTTTCATTATTTCTCCCTTCTTGGAACATCCTTCTTTTTCGCCCATTGCTTTTTGTGAGGATAGTTTATCTATGCACTGAGCCCAATTTTGCAAAATATTTGCTTATTATGCACTGTGTCCCAGGTAAATGAGACAGTGGAGAAGAAGTTGGAAAACTGCCTCAGCATAGTCTGTGGTGATGCTACTTCAGCTGGCTGAATTGGTGCGGCCTCCACATGCTCTTGCTGCTATTGTGACTGCATCCATAGGAATGGGCAGTGGGGCACAATATGGATCTTCAAATACTAAGCCCAAGCAAAATCTTCCAAATTGGAACTACTGGTGCACTAAACACTGGCATTTGCTTTATTGTGTCACTGGAGCCATTAAGAGGATACAAAAGCATATAGTGAGGAGGCCATAGAATGCTTTGTGGGAAGTCCATCAGCTTTAGAGAGAGAGAGAGAGAGAGAGAGTGTGTGTACACATTTCCTGAGTTTTGCCTTTGTGAACTGGTGAATGTTGCTTATTACAGCCCTAAAAGTTACATTGCCTCCATGCCCTTGTCTCTGTGCTGGAGAAAATCTGGGTACCAATTTCACACTAATTTAGTTTGAAGTCTGTAACGTCACCGTGTAGGACCATATTGTTGAGTAGTACTAGCCCTTATTGTTACATGGAAATCTCCTTTACAACAGGGGACCTCCAGGTTTCAGTGTCAAAATCTGAACATTGAAACTTTTATTTAAAATCAACCGTTTTATGAACTCATCAGCTTTCCAGAATTAGACCTCTGTTCTGCAACCATTTACACACGTACGTGTCTTTACACGAGTAGTCCCACTGAGGGCAATGAGACTACATGTGTGCATTTGCTGGATTGGTGTCTAAAGTGATGAAGCCTTTCACCTAACACAGACAGTTCCAAACAGTATTTATATTTTCATATGCTATAATCCTTTGAGATACATTAAGTCCAAGTAGTTTTTAATATTAGTTGGCAAATATTTTCTTTTTAAAAAATGGCTAGAGGATGGCTGCTAAATTAAAGAGAAGAAACATTAAGCAGATATTGCAAGATGTACAGTCCAAACCACATATGACTAACTGTAAAGAAGTGTTTAGGATAGCCTGGGCAATTATAGATCATTGAATATCAAGATTGATTTCTCTACATTTTTAAAGATGTGCAGAGGCTGCTGGGGAGGATCTCCAACAAACGTTCAAGAATGTTTCATTTTAAATTTCTTCCAAAGAGGCCTCCTGATGTTTCCTTACTGCTCATGTAGTTAGATTCTTTTTCTGCTAATAGTAATTAAAGACATTTTAAGTGCATCTAAAAATGTTTGGAAACCTTTGACTGTAGCAGAAAAGTGTGTGTGTGTGTGTGTAATATAAAGATTCGACAAAAACAAAAAAATTTTGTTTAAAAAAAAAAGTTGACTTTGCTAAGTGACAACAATGGTAGTTACCTATCACATTATTTACAAAATCCAAACCTTTAAAAGTAAGTTCACCTCTACCCCCAATATAACGCTATCCTCGGGAGCCAAAAAATCTTACTGCATTATAGGTGAAACCGCGTTATATCAAACTTGCTTTGATCCGACGGAGCGCACCCCCTCCCCGCCCTGGAGCGCTGCTTTACCGCATTATATCCGAATTCGTGTTATATCAGGTCGTGTTATATCGGGGTAGAGGTGTATATTGATAGTTAAGGACATAGTGTCTATATACCTTTCTCTCTAAAAGGCCAACTTACTATAGTACTTTACATGGTCCAAATAGGAATTATGTGTTTGTTTTTATGATCAAGTATTAATGAATGAATATTTCATCACAACCCAACCACTTTAATACTAACCCAGGAGTTCTTGGTTTTAAAAAAAATATTTTTGTTATATTGATATCTGTCCCTAGATAGTCTTTTTGAGGCATATTTTAAAGTTCAAATATCAAGTTAATCTGTTTATCAACTGAGAGTAGAATGTTTAGTAAAGCACTTATAATTGACGTTTCTTGGAAATAATGTCTATATAGCTTAAGAGAAAAGCCATGTAACATTATCATCTTATGGTAAAATTAGTTATGGATGTGTCAGTGTAATTCAGCTATACATGGATATTTTAAATTATTTTTCAAAATAGTTTTTGTTTGTATTTTGATATTACTGATGTAATAATAATAATTTTGCATCAAATTTAAGGTTCCATGTGATGGAACATGAATTTCTTTGTGCTTGTGTTTGTTTATTATATAGCTAGTTTAAAATTTATTATGTGTTTATCTAATTATTGCCTTTCTTTTAAATGGTGGGTTTTTGTAAATGATGTGCTTGGGGAATTTCCCATGTTTGTGAGTTTGGCTTTGGTCTTTTTCATGTTTTGTTTTGCGTAGGTGAATAAAGAGATGAGTTTCAAATCTTCAGTAAATAGGATGAGTGGGTTACCAGATTAATAAATCAAAGAGAGAGCAACACTGGCTAAATTTATAATTATGTTAGTGATGCTTCCTCATTAAGTGTGTCTCTGTCAAAATACTCATATTTCCTAATCAACTGAGTTAGCTACTCACACACAGTGCAGCTCATTTTTGCTGAGTGCTGATTAGAAGTACTAAAAAATAAATAACATTAAGTATCAGACCCAAGACATTTTATTCTGTAGCCCTAGCTAATCTACTGCACCACTGTGCCTCTCAGTCAAGACACTGAACCATGCTGTGTTTAGTTACAGCACTTGACATATGTAACTAATACTAATGCTTTACATTTACATAGCACATTTTCATCTATAGATCTCAAAGTACTTAACAAAAATGAATAATCATTATTATTCCCATTTTATGTGTGGCCTTAATAAATCCGGGATTTCAAGCCATTCGCATGCTAGAGACCAGGTTTATTACCTTAGGGCTTGATCCTGCAAAGTGCCAAGCGCTATAATCCTGATCTATCCAAGCACTTTAGCATGTGCTTAACTTTAAATACATTAATAGTCAACTCCCTAGAAATCAATAGGATCAATATTGGGCTGCAAAACTCTCTGCAATACAAATTGTTAGTTACTTTGCTTAATTATAACCTATTTTCTTCAAATAAAGAACGTGCTTGAGTTGTCAAAGAGATCCAACCGTCGGGAAAGCTTGAAAGATTTGGAATAAGATGTTATTGAGATAAAGAGAGACAAAAGTCAAAATTTCCCAATTAAATATAGACTGTGGGGATAGACTTTGGGTTAAAAAGAAAACCACATCTTAAGTT